CTTCTAGGAGCTTCCAGGCGCTTCTGGAAGCCTTCCGGGAACCTTCCGGGAACCTTCTGGTAGCTATTTACCATTGATGCTATATATTGATTGTATCTCATATGAACCACCAATGATTGGAACCCTCGCTACAACGGCTACGGCTTCACTGCATCACGAGTCTCCGACCAAGCGTTATGGTTTTTCTCGGATTCTAAGTTTTTCCCCCTGACTGAACTTTGGTTGGCCCAAGAGGGTGATTTGCCTGACGGTTGGAGTTCTACTACAAGATGTGAAGTATGACAGGCTGCAGCCCACCAGAGATGAAACTTAGAAAGCTACGTGGCTACCACCGGGGATTGAATCCGCGAATCCGGGACACGAATCTGCCGTCTGGATCCAATGGCGAGCCCATTTTCTGGTCCACTGACTGAGGCCTTTGAGACGGCCAGATCTTCTTTGGACGACAGCTTCCAACTTGCTAAGTGAAATTTACTTATGTGATTAGACTTGGGTCTTCGGAGGCCGGAGGCTATGGCGGACCGTTTGGAGGCCATGTTGGAACTATTTTTGGTAACTTGTGGCTTGCGCGGCGGTTTTTGGAGGCTCTGTTGGGCCGTTTGGAGGCTATGTTGGGACTATGTTGGGCAGCTTGGGGCTCTCTTGGCAGCTTCTGAAAGCCATGTTGGGCCATTTGGGGGCTACGTTGTGACTATGTTGGGCAGCTGGGGCTCTGCTGGCTGTTTTTGAAAGCTATGTTGGGCCACTTGGAGGCCATGTTGGGCTATGTTCGGCAACTTTTGCTTCTGTTGGCGGTTTTTGGAGGCTATGTTGGGCCATTTGGAGGCCATGTTGGGCCACTTGCAGGCTATGTTGGGCCATTTGGAGGTCATGCTAAGACTATGTTCAGCAACTTGTGGCTCTATTGGCGGTTTTTGGAGACTATGCTCGGCCAGTTGGAGGCCATGTTTGTATGATGTTCGGCAACTTATGGCTCCTATGGCGGTTTTGGAGGCTATGCTGGGCCGTTTGGGGGCTATGTGGGGACTCTGTTGGGCAGCTTGGGGCTCTCTCGGCGGCTTCTGAAGGCTATGTTGGGCCATTTGGTGGCTATATTCTGACTATGTTGCACAATTTGGGGCTCTCTTGGCGGCTTCTGAAGGCTACGTTGGACATTTGGAGGCTATGTTGGGACTATCTTGGGCAGCTTGAGGCTCTGCTGTTGGTTTTGGCAGGCTATGCTGGGGCATTTGGAGGCCATGTTGGCACTACGTTGGGCACCTCGGGGCTCTTTTGGTGGCTTCTGAAGGCTATGTTGGGGGGCTATGTTGTGACTATCTTGGGCAGCTTGGGGCTCTGCTGGCTGTTTTTGAAGGCTATGTTAGGCCATTCGGAGGCTATGCTCGGGCTATGTTCGACAGCTTGTGGCTCTGTTGAAAGTTTTTGTAGGCTACGTTGAGCCATTTGGAAGCCATGTTGGGGCCATGTTCGGCAAATTGTGACTGTATTGGGCAGCTTGGGGCTCCGCTGTTGGTTTTTGAAGGCTATGTTGGAAAATTTGGAGGCTATGTTGGGCCATTTGGAGGCCATGTTGGGCCATGTGGAGGGGCTTGGTTCAGCATCTTGTGGCTCTGTTGTCGGTTTTTGGAAGCTATGTCGGGCTATTTGGAGGCCATGTTGGGACTATGTTCGGCAACTTGTGGCTCGTGTGATCGTTTTTGGAAGCTATGTTGTGCCGTTATGTTGGGACTCTGTTGGGCAGCTTTGGGCTCTCTTGGCAGCTTCTGAAGGCTATGTTGGGCCATTTGGGGGCTACGTTGCGACTATGTTGGGCAGCTGGGGCTCTGCTGGCTGTTTTTGAAAGCTATGTTGGGCCACTTGGAGGCCATGTTGGAACTATGTTCGGCAACTTTTGCTTCTGTTGGCGGTTTTTGGAGGCTATGTTGGGCCATTTGGAGGCTATGTTGGGCCACTTGGAGGCTATGTTGGGCCATTTGGAGGCCATGCTAAGACTATGTTCAGCAACTTGTGGCTCTATTGGCGGTTTTTGGAGGCTATGTTCGGCCATTTAAAGGCCATGTTGGGACGATGTTCGGCAACTTATGGCTCCTGTGGCGGTTTTGGAGGCTATGTTGGGCCGTTTGGGGGCTATGTGGGGACTCTGTTGGGCAGCTTGGGGCTCTCTTGGCGGCTTCTGAAGGCTATGTTGGGCCATTTGGGGGCTATATTCTGACTATGTTGGGCAGCTTGGGGCTCTGCTGGCTGTTTTTGAAGGCTATGTTAGGCCATTCGGAGGCTATGCTCGGGCTATGTTCGACAGCTTGTGGCTCTGTTGAAAGTTTTTGTAGGCTATGTTGAGCCATTTGGAAGCCATGTTGGGGCTATGTTCGGCAAATTGTGACTGAATTGGGCAGCTTGGGGCTCCGCTGTTGGTTTTTGAAGGCTATGTTGGAAAATTTGGAAGCTATGTTGGGCCATTTGGAGGCCATGTTGGGCCATGTGGAGGTCATGCTAAGACTATGTTCAGCAACTTGTGGCTCTATTGGCGGTTTTTGGAGGCTATGTTCGGTCATTTGGAGGCCATGTTGGGACGATGTTCGGCAACTTATGGCTCCT